TCGCATGAAATAGCTATGAGAGTGAATACAACACGTCTGAAAAGAATGAGAATTCATCTAAATCAGTTTGAGCGTTTCATAGTGAATAGCTTTGCATGCAATCATAATCGACTGTAATAATGAGTCTAGGACAGTGGCTTTCATAGGGAGTAAAATTACCTGTTTTGGGTAATTCGCGGCTGTCGGGGCTATGGAGGGAGTTGGGAAATCAGTATTCCATACAGTTGTTAGTTATGATACGACTCCATTGTGATGGTGTAATTTTCACTCGGATATTTAAACGCGGCTCGCTCATGTAAACGCTCTTCTTTATCCTACTTTCTGAGTATCTCTTGCTGGCTTCGGTCTGAACGGAAGTCAATCTCAGTTAATCACATTTATTTCGTAGATTCTTTAACGTATTGGTTGACATCCTTTCTCATGAACAGTAAGAATTGATTGAAATGTTTAGTACGACAGAAAAGATCATTCGTTTGGTGTGGGACGATCGAGTGTATCTGAATTCATCCGTCATTATTATTTGGTTGCACTGAAAAGTTTTGATAAGTTCTTTAATTACTGCATATAAAGGAATTTCGGTTCGTAAATGAATTTTTGTGAATGAACCAACTGCCCAACCGTGTCATAGGCATCTGTTTTATGACAAATATGTACCAAGTGGTCATTTTGCTTTTGGATTCTGCAGCGAAAATTATTTTCCGTACTTGTGAATGAGATGACTGGTTTTCGTTTTTGATTACAGAGGTCCATATTGTTTGTGCAGTGGACAAACAAAGTTCTGAAAATACTTCTCTTATTACAGAAAACAAATTTCTTTCACACCGCTGATAAACTTCCGGAGCAGTTTCCGTTTGTTCCTGACGTTATACATAGAAATAGTAAGTTCTTGTATCAGGGAAGGGGGGGGGTAGTAACTGCGGCCTGCCAGATCGTCAAAAGAGGTAATAGTGCATCCAAACTTGAGAATCAGTGATGGAAATTTGCGCAGCGAAAATTATTTCCAATGAAAACGTTCTGTTTACACCGATATAGTTTTATTGTACGACATGATGAAAGCAGAAATTATGGTCTCTTAAATACTTTATTCAACGCCACTAATGAAGGATTATTCATCACTTAATCAGTCACTAATGAAGGATTCATCAGCTATTGATTGTCCCTATTCGCAGTTTTAACATGAAAATCAGCAAAAAAAAATGCGCAAGAACGACTACCATGTGGTTTTGCTTTTGCAGAGATTTGGCAGTAGAAAAGTGACCAAAACGCAGAGGTTTAAACTGGATTAAGCTGAACTCAAGCTTGATCCTAGACTATAAGCTAGTTTTAGACTATAAGCTAACACTCAGCCTCTGGTACCTTTAAGCTCATAAATACGCTTCAGGTGAGCACATTTTTTGCATTCGACAATAACCGACGCCGTTCCGAATTGATCTTCTGCACTTTCAAGGAATCTTTAGGGAACATGTCCTCGAGCAGTACAACTGCAGTGCTTACCGCAAATCATTGCTTATGTTTGTTTCTCGTTCGAAGCTGAATAGTTTTCCTTGACTCCAACAATGAAAATGATTCTGGTGTCCTCATTTCGAAGTAGAATCAGGCTCAAAGACCAAACCATCCAGATTGTCAGCAATTCCAGCTTTTGTCGCAGACATTAAATGCTGTTTTGTCTACAATACGAAAGTTCGTTTCCGCGTGTGCAAACCATCGTCCACATCATTCACAGCTCTCTAAAAATATCATACCACTTTTGTGACACAACTAAATAGCCACAAAATGAATTCAAGCGGAATTCGAATGTCTTAAAGAATTGATATTTTAGTCGAGTTGTAAGGCTAAGCCAGACGATGAAATGCTAGAAAATCAATTGTAGCTGAATGAATTCAAGAACGATAGCTCGAGACGTTATCATGCTGAATTCTCTGAATTTACTGCCATACCTGCCATACTTTTATCGTTTGTTTCTTCTCCTTAGCTGCCAGACACAGCCATCTGACGATAATTATCAGTAATTGGCATTTTTCAACTTCCCAACAAGGCGCTCTCACTGCAAATGTTCACCAACAATCCGCTGTCTGGCTACGCATTTGACTACTCCACTAGAATCTCAAATGATACTATCTTAAAAATTTGATATTGTCATGAACTTGTGAAAGTATTTGAATGCTCAATCACCAAAAAAANGATACTATCTTAAAAATTTGATATTGTCATGAACTTGTGAAAGTATTTGAATGCTCAATCACCAAAAAAACTTTGCTAAAAACTGCGTTTTATTTCGCATGAAAAGGATGTTTGTGATTTTTTTCACCATCTTTTTGTTTTTCTTCTTCTTCTTCTTCAGCAGCGATGCTCTCCTCTTATTGCTTTATATATGAAGTGGTCAGACGACATTCTTTTGAATCAATTAAAAATGTGAAGCATTCAACTCCAAATAACATCACATCACATCATTCGTCCCGTTGTCCCTATATAAATGGAAGTTTTGCGATCAAACGCGTTACATTCTCACAATACAATACACACATCCAAACGCCCATTCACATTCTGTTGATTCCAGAGATTATTTGCGCAATTATCGCACGCAAAGTTTGTATTCGGTCGTCATCCGTTGAGCATTTCCACCGATAACAACTCCGCGTTGGATATTGTTCCGTTGCACATATTTAGTGGCCAAAGAATATTCCATTGCAAGAATGCGTC